ACTTGGGGCGAATGGGATCAACGGTTATGGGGAGAAAGCAAGATTAGGCTATTGTGTTTGATGATCAGCCTCATAATTGAGATGAATGACCTCCTCCTGCTCCTATCTTCTATGTTTCTATGATTTCATGAAAAGCGGGCACACTGACAATGACTTCCTTCCCTTGCTGTGGGTCCCTGCCTTGTGATACTATGCCAAAACCTCCATCTTGCTGTCACTCAACTGTAGCCTGGGTCAATTGTTGATCCCACATCTCCGGTGAGAGTTGTACTGGCATCAACCACACCCATGGTGATACTGCTGAATAATGGATTACTGCTGACCTTCTGAAAGTTCAGCAGCTCTCTTAGTTCGTAGGGGAGTTGGGAGGAGAGGTGGTGTAGTTGATGGGATTTATTACTCCATGGACCTTGATCCCAGAAAGGGAGCGACACTTAATTGTCATGCTTTCCTGAATGGAAATATGTTGAGATTTTTGCCAGGTCTGCAGCCCAGGTTGCACCCAGAGGCTTGTTGTCTTCATTAAATAGTGCCTATTTTGCATCCTTTCCACAACTTATTTTACTTGGGATGCAGAGTCCAGTATTGCACAGAATAGTCTAACTGAGACTATTTTTTGCATTATTATTTCCTGACTCATACATTCTAAGTCTTGTGCTATAAGCTACACATTTGTTAGTTATTTTTATCATCATTGTGTCATGTCAAAATCTGATTCTGATCAAATTTTGTTAGCTTGCACAAGAACTAATGAGACCATTGTCCACATTGTGCTGTCTTAAATGTTTTGTACATTTCTGGTTCTATTTTGTCATTCACAAAGCTATAGGTCTTAAGTAGTCATAATTTCATACCAAAATGAAAATGAAAAAAAATGTTTTTTGTCATGGGATACTGAAGGAGTAGTTTTTTTATACTGTTAAGAAAGTGTGGAGTAAATTTTCTGCTTGTGTGACCAGTGCATAACCTCACTTGCACTTAATGGGAAATTGAAAACATGCAGTTCATAATTTACTATTCATGAACATTAATGGATTTTTTAAAAAAAGCTATTGACCATGCCTGCATCATTCCTTCCAGCAGCAAATAAGCAGAAATTTACTTCCATATGTATTCAAAGTTGCAGAGAACTTTCACCATTCAGTTCAGGTCGCCAGGCAATGCAAAATCCTATTCAAATGAAAATTGTGGGAAAATAAGCTAATATAGTGAATTTCCAATGTACACTTAAAGAAATTTGTGTTCATTAACTATGAGCAGAATCTTCTCACCTTACTCCTGCCAGTACTGTGGATCAGCTTTCAGGGTTATGAAAACCTGCCTAATAGTGCTCTTTACCAGTTCAAAATAAATGTCATCCTGTCTGAGACTCCCCAACCAACTGGGAAGTGGTAGTGAACAAAACAATTCTATCAAGGAAGCATTCCTAATTAGTAGGATCATGATGTGGATCAGAAAAGCTCAGCTGGGATTTTCAGGCTGCAGCAGCTACAGGGATGGAGAGGAAACCTGGAAGCTGGACTTTGGATCACTCACCATTCCTGGAGATTCTCCAGTATCTGAGAGGCTACAGTGAGTTGAGTGCTCCCAAGGGCAGTAAGCAGAGGATAGCATCCCCATCAAATAGTTGGGATATAAGTGGCTAAGGAAGTCAGCAGCAGGAATATGGAAGACTATGCGCCAAGATGATCCTTAAGAAGTTGAGAAAGGTAAGTGTATAACACTTGCAAGTGCCAAGCCCCACTTTCTCACTTGCATCGCATTCTTCTACACAACCTGCCCGAGAACAACACTTTACATAGCTCCACTGATTCCTCCCTCTACAGGCACTTCATGAACTGCCAAAGGTTATTGTGTGTTGATGGGAATGTGGAATTTAAAACACAGATCAGCCACGATCTTACTGAATAGTGAAACAGGCTCAAGGAGCTGAATGGTGACTTCAGCTCGGATTTCATTTCCATACAGCCTCAAGCCATTGTCATCTCACATATATGCTTCAAGTCACTCTTCGGAAAGGTGTTCTGCTTTCTTTCTCACAGAAGCCATTTCAAACACTCACCCTCTGTGCATTGTCTCCTTGCAGCAGAGAAAGGCAGGTAGGACATAAGGACGTTTGGACTCCTGTGATAGGATCCTTGTCAGCCACTATCAGTGTTTTTTGCTTGCTCCACTGGGAGACAACAGGTATTGGCGATCTTATGAGTGTCTAATCCTCTTGAGACACAGTGTGGTGCTCTGAAGTGTTGATGATCCTTCACCTGTAGTCCGAGTGTTGAAATTTTTGCATCCCTCCAATGAGATCCAGGCATCCATCCCATCTGCCTTGTGGGGACCACGTGACTGAGGAAATACGTGTTTCCTTCCAAGAAGTTGACAGTCGGAGGGAGGCACTCTCTCAGAGAATTAGTTTGAGCAGTGCTCTCTCAATGACCATGGCTGGAGGTCTTTGTGATCAAAGCCTTCCACAGTTTGAGCTTCAATGAAGAAGCTCTTCCTACTGTGCCCTCATCTTGGTGACCCAGGTGAGAAACTGGTTTATCAGAAAATAGGTTCCAGAGTTGATAGATTGAAAGTTTAAGTCAAAATCAATGTATAATTGCCATCTTAAAGTTCTTAATATCTGAATTACCTGTCGAACTAATCTAAGGATTATCTGTTTACCTCCCCAGAGAATGCAGGATCCTGACCTGATATAAACTTCTGGGGCATTCACCATTCTTTGCTCCCAAACCTGCTTCACCATTCTGGGAAAGTGCTTCCCTCTTGTTGATATTTATGTTGCTTCATGATATTAATAGATGAAAAGTCTCATCATATATGACAAACGTTTCAATAAAACAGATATTATCTTTACAATAGTTGACTTTGGAGTGGTAAAGACATGAATCAGTTTTAACAACAGATGAGCTGAGATTGAGGCAGAGGCACATGATATTGATATGGTGGACAAAATTTAATGCCCTTAACAGATGTGGGAAGGAAATTGGGTTAGTGGTGCTGTCAAATGAAGCAGAAAGGATCAGAATGGTGATTCTCCTACTTACCCAACTTTCCTCTGTTAAGTTTGAACTGGACTTTCCAATAATTATAGATCATTTGTGGGTCTTGTACCAGACATGGGGTGGGTGGGAATTGTAATAAAAGACTAACTTTTGGTGTCGAACAAGCTCAATAATGTGCTATTTAGTAATTTCAAAATGATGGATGGTATTCTGGTTACATACCTGTAATTTGGAAGTCTGATGTTATTGACATTGCATTGCCGTCGTAGTATCACTGCACCCCGAACTATGGTCGCATTATCTAGCCCCATGACAGGAGGAAACTCATCACATTTACCAAGGTTTAGGCTGTAGGCTATTACTATGAATATGTAACTTTAAATAGAGTGAGAAGCTTAAGAAGGATAGGAGGGCAGTGAATTCGAGGAAGTGGAGACAAAGATTTAACTAACTAAAAATGAGGAGCTGTGCGGTGCTAGGAAGAGCAGTTGATAACAGAAATTTCTTCATTGTACTGCATTCCCATTTGCCTGTTAATTTGAGAGTTACTCTAGGTAAGCACTTTGATTACATCGTTGCAGCTAATGGGGTTTTTATTCTATTGCTTCCTCTTTTATTGCTTTTTATACTCAAGCATAAAGTTTGCAGCCCCAAAAACCAGAGGACATGATGTTTACTAACTACTTTGTCATCATCACACATGATGATAACTGTGATCATTCACATGGATCATGTTTCCAGTTAGTAACCATCTTAAATGCACGATTCCATCTAATGTTCCATTTGTTGAAATTACAAAAAGTGATAAATGTAGTTGTGTAAAAGCACAAGAATGTTGTCAAGAACCCATCCAAAGATGAGATGATCTTATTGCATGGACATAAATTCTTAAAGCTTGGGATTATCAAGAAGTTGTCTTCTTCAGTTTTCAGCCCCCATGGTCTCCAGTAAGAGTACAGCTAGGAGGCAAAATCTGAAGTGTCACTAGTTGGAATGGGCACTAAACCCTGTGCTGTTGGCAGCAATTCAATCCAATCCAGCCAACTTGCTTCCCATGGAGTCTAAGTTGCTAGGGCAAGTGCAATTTCACATGCATGCTGTAGTCAAAAGCTATAGATACTAATGATCGAGGCTTCAATTTTTTTTCCATCGCATGGCAGATCAGGAAGCTTTCCCATTCTTACCATTGCTACTGGCTTTTGCTGGAAGGATTTCAGATTTGGTTAGGTTATGAGACACCCTCCTTGGCCACCAAATCATGAAGAGGAACTTGAATTGAGACCGCTGGCTCAGAGGCAGGGACCACAAGACCACCTTGTCAAGAGTGTCCAGAAATAAACTAATTATTGATCTTGAGCAACATTCAGGTTATAATAATCTGTAACAATGCATGAAATCTCCATATAAGATTTTTATCCTCAAATGCCATCAAATAAATATCTTGTGTGTTGTACTTGGGATTTTTCTCGCATAATAATGGCAGAAAATTAGCCTTTAATATCGAACATCTCTTTTGTTAGGGAAATCAGATTCAAACCACAAAACTAATAAATGTTCTTGACTGAAAACAAATTAAAGAGAGAATAGTAATCAATTGTTATTCATTTGACGTTATTTGTCTGATATGTATTATGGGTATCAATACAGAGGAAGTATTATCCTGAGGTCAGAAAGCATAAACAACTTTCACTAAGCAAAAGTGCTTCCCATTTTAAAACATACTTCATTGTAATAAGAAAAATACTACTTTGTTGTTAAACCATTGGCCTCTTGGCCATTAACATTATTTGTACATTGAGACATTCAGCTTAGTTTGGATGTATATCGGAATGTCTATCCATCTTTCTGCAAGAGAAAACACACTCAGGGCAACAGAAACATTCAATAAACTGAAATATATATTGTCTATGTGGATTGTCAACTGTTATGATTTGATTCCTGCAGAACTGAATCTATTATAACATGTTGAACTCCAATTATTTTTATTCCCTTAAGGATGTGAAGCAGGCAGACTTTCAATATATGGAGCCAAACCATTGTGGCACATCTTTAGCAGGACCTTGTGCTTTTAAAATTCCTTATCTGATCCGACAGAAGATTTGTAGCAGTCTGGATATTCCAAATTCAAGAGGAAGTGACTGGAGAATGCTGGCATATAAATTGAAATTAGACCGGTGAGTCCCAAAAGATTTATACAATCATATGAAATCACAGGATTGTTACAGCATAGAAGTCAGCTTTTGTATCTATAACTGAACACTGAATGAAAATTTCACCTAATCCCCTTCCCGTATATTCTCTCTACAACTCTCTACTCCCTTTCTTTTCAGATAACAATCCATTCCCATCTGAATACCTTGATGGAATCTACCTCAACCACAATCTCAGTCACTACATTTCAAATTCTGACCACTCACTGCATGAAAAGGCTTTTCCTTATATCACCATCGCCGTCCTATTCTTGAATCTTCCACCAATGAAAGCAACTTTTCTCTATCTACACTGTCCAGCCCTCTTAATATTATGAAAACATCTATAAAATCTCCTTTTCTCCTCGGAAAACATCCTAGCTTCTCTAGCATAACGTGTTCCACATTATAAGACCATAAAATGTAGGAGCAGAAATCGGTCATTCAGCCAATTGAATGGCAAAGCAGACTCAATGAGATCAATGCTGATCTGATAATCCTCAATTCCATTTCCCTGCCTTTTCTTTATAACCCTTCATTCCCTTACTGATTAAAAATCTGTGTATTTCTGCCTTGAATATACTTAATGACCCAACCTCTGAGATTATGCCCTCTGTTCCTAGACAGTCCCATTAGGAGAAACAATCTTTCTGCAGCTACTCAGTAAGTCCCCTAAGAATATTGTGTATTTCAGTAAGATCATTTCACATCATCTATATTTCAATGAGTACAACCTAACCTACACAGCCTGTGTTCATTAGACAGTATGTTCATACTCCGGCATCAGCTTCGTGAACCTTCTGTGGCATGTGTCCAATGCCAGTATATCTTCCATTAGTTAAGAGTCCTAAAACTGTTCACAGTTTTCCAGATGTGGCCTGACTCATGCCTTATATAGTTTTAGCAAAAACTCCCTACTGTATTTTTAAATTTCAATCTCTTTGAAATAACTATTATGTTTGCCTCAACACAGTTCTGAACACAGTTTCAGTTCTGAGGAAGGGTCACCGGACCCGAAACCTTAACTCTGTTTTTTCCTTCACAGATGCTGCCAGACCTGCTGAGCTTTTCCAGCAACTTTGTTTTTGTTCTTGATTTATAGCATCCACAGTTCTTTCAATTTTTATTATATTTGCCTTCCCTATTGCCTGGTAAACATGGATTCTAACTGTTTGTGATTTATGGATTAGGACTCCCAAATTACTCTTTTTCTGTAGCTTTCTGCAATCTTTCTCCATCTAAATAATATTCAGCTCTTCTATTCTTCTTGCCAAGGTGCATAAATTCGCATTTTCCCAAATTATATTCCATCTGCCAAGCTTTTGACCGCATGCTTAACCTGTCTATATCCCTCTGCAGATTCTTTGAGTTATCCTAATCACATGTCTTCCCATAGATTTTTATATCATCCGCAAGCTTAGCTATAATGCATTCATTTTCCACATCAAAGCCGTTAATATATGTTGTAAATAATTGTGGCCCTAAAACTGTTTCCATCAGTAACAGATTATCATCCTGAAAATGCTCCCTTATCTAACCTCTGTGTTCAATTATTTAGTTAATCCTCTATCCGTGCTCATGTATTACCTCAAGCACCATGGGCTCTTATCTTATTAAGCAGCCTGATAATGTAGAACCTTGCCAAACACCACCTTAAAATCCAAATATATTATATCCACTGCTTCCCTGATATTTATCCTGCTTGTAACCTTCTCAAAGAATCCTAATATATTTGCCAGGCAAGATTTCCCCTGCATTAAGTCATGATGGCTCTGATTGGTCATATTATGTATTTCTAAATGGTTTGCTATTACATCCTTTATAAAAGACGAACATTTTCCCAGTAATAGATGTTAAGCTTTTTGTCAACTTGCCTTTTAAAATAAAGCCATTACATTGGCAGTTTTTAGTGACTTATTGGTCTTTAGCCCCATTAGTTTCCCTAGCACTCTTTTACTGATAGTAATTATTATATGTATATTCTCTCCTCCTATTCCCCCTTGATTACTTAGTAATTTTGGAATGCTATTACTGTCTTCTACTGTGAAGACTGATGCAAAGATATTTTCAATTCCTCTGCCTTTGTTGTTTCCCCATTATTATTTCTCTGGCCTCATTCTCTGAGGGACATATGTTCACTTTGGCTTCTCTTTTCCTTTCCGTATGTTTAAATAAGTTTTGCCGTCCATCTTAATTTGATTTGTAAGTTTACCCTCATAGCTAATTTTCTCCCTCTGTTATTTTTTGCCCATCTTTTGTTAGTTTTTAAAAACTTTCCCATTCTTTGGCTTGCAAGGTGAGGAAGATTAGTGGTGTGCTTTTTCTTTCAGCTTTTCTGCTATATTTAACTTCCTTGGTTAACCATTGTTGACTTATCTCCTTCCTAGAATCCTTTTCCCTCACTGGATTACAACGTTGTTGTGAGCCATTTGCTAATTCCTTAAATGTCAAACATACTTCCTCAACTGTCTTTGCTGCTAAACTCCTTTCACAGTTCACCCCAGCCAGCTCTGTCCATGATACTCTGTAATTGCCTTTATTTGAGGTTAGTATAGTTGTTTCCAACCCAAGCTTTTCCCACTCAAACTGAGTGTTAAATCCTACCATGTTATGGTCACTGTTTTTTTGGCCTTTTTTTTTACTCCGATGTCATTTATTAAACTTGGCACTTTATACATCATCAGATGCAAAATAGCCTGATCCCTACTTGGATCCACCACATATTGTTTGAGGAAAAAAACCTGAATACACTTCAGGAATATTTCCTCATAGCTTCCTTTGCCAATCTGACTATCCCAATCTACATGGATATTAAAGTCACCCATAATGAATGTACTACCATTGTTACAACCCTTATTATCTTCTGATTTGTTATTTCGCCCACCATATAGCTACTGTTATCTACTATTAAGATATATTTTCTCCCATTCATAAACTCTTCATGAGTTTTTTGAAGATTTTGCATAAGCTCTAGGGAAGGTAGATTACCTGAGTTTTAGTCAGTATTATCTCAGCTTCTAAGACTTAAAGCTCATCAAAGCAAACCAGTGAAAGATGTGTACATGTGGCGAATTTATTTTGTGAAATTACTGTATAGAGAAATGTCAAGGGGAACCATATCTACATGATTGTCTTTTCGAACTGTCAAGTGCTATAGTCATGAAAGATGTTCTGTATTTGCACCATTCTGAAAGTAAATGTTACAGTCTAAGAATACTCAAACTTACTAATGTATCAGCTTTGAAACATTTTTGATTTTGTATTTTAACAGATATCTCACTTACTTTGCATCTAAAGCTAGTCCGACCTCCGTGATTCTTGATTTATGGGAAGCTCAGCACTTTCATAATGGCAACCTGAACCATCTTGCCATGATCATGGCAGAAATGGGAAAGCAAGAACCAATGATATTTGTTGTATCAGAAGCAGAATGCTGAGTTGATTGGAAAATGTCATTGACATGTTTTGAAAATTCATTTTATGAGAACATTCATTCAGAATTCACTGAAGTCTTGCTTAAGCAGTAATCAATTCATCCTAAACAAGATTAATATATTTTCAGTGAATTAAGGCTTCTATGTAGATTTGCTAATTTTGTGAACAAATATTCACGAATGAATTTGATTTTTTATTGTTAAGTATGTTCATTACTTCAAAACAAAACTTCAAAAGTATTTCTATTTGACTCTTTAAGGCTCATATGATAAACGTACAAATTGAAGTGGCACAGAGCAAGATGATAAGGAAATGCTAGAGCCAATCCTTTCCCTGTTGTTAAATTAACAAATTTCAGTTGCAGTAAAGCATCACAAACCTCAACTAGAGAATGGAAACATCAGCCAAGGTGCCTACTCTTGATTAGCTAATTAAATTTGCTTTCCACACAAAAACTTTTAGCAATTAAAGACAAGATTGACTAAGCTAGTATAACCCCATAGTAAAATATTCCACAAATAAGAATTGGCATTTTGTTGAGCTGATGGAATAATTCTATATAAACTCAAGACAATAATTAAACATTATTGAAGAGTATCTTCAGCATCATTATCTGGCTGAAATGGTGCAGCAGATAATAAGCCAGTTGGTGAACACCCCTAATTTTTGAGAATCATATTCAACATCTTCATTAAGATGTTCTATTTCCAACTCTATGACATCAGCCAACTTACCTTTTGTTTCTGCTGATCTGTTGTAGAACCTACCATTCATGCTGTATTCCCATCTATTCTGGACTATTCTACAACACCCCTCATTGATCCCCTATGTTTTACCTTCTATGAACATGAGGTAATCTAAAATTCTGGCTGTGTCACTGCTTGTGTCAAGTCCTGTTCTTTGATCACCCTTGTGCTCGCTGATCTTCATTTGGCTCCTGGCCTAACAACATCCTGATTTTAACATTCTCATTCTTGTTTTCAAATCACTCCCATGAACTCACATGTTCCTGTCCCTATCTCCTCCAGTCCTACAAGACTGAGTTAGAGTGCTGCTCTAATTCTGGCCTCTTTTGCATCACAGATTTTAATTGCTTCGCCATTAATGGCCCCAAACTCTAGCATACTCTCCCTACACGTCTCAAAATATATACTGCAGTTTTCTCCTTGAAGATACTCTTTAAAGTATATCTGTTTGCCCAAGCGTTTTGTCATCTGACCTGATATCTCCTTATCTGGCTTGGTGTCATACTTGGTTTTATGATCTTCCTGTGAAGTGTCTCAGAATGTTAACAACACAATACAAATATAGGTTGTTGTTGCTGTTGTTCAATATTGCATAGGCAATCTACCCTTTCAGCTAATAGTTTGGATAGTGAAGTTGAAAATGACTTCTAGAGTTATTGCCAATTGCAAGGTTGGTAATCTATTTTGTTCAAAAAGGTCAGTATGTCTTTTTTTTAACAAATGTACTTTAAAACAAGCATATGCCATGCTATCGATAGTTATCTCAGTTTGTTTTTTTTTTGACCATCTCAGCAAAATTTATATGGCTTTTCAAATTAAGCTTATTTTCCTGTGAACATGCAGTGACAAAACAGCACATGCATTCAGGACAGTCAATTTTCAGTGTAAGAGATCAAGGAAACTATAAGAAAGGTTCTGAGGAAGGGTCACTGGACTCAAAACATTAACTCTGATTTTTTTCTTCACAGATGCTGCCAGACTTGCTGAGCTTTTCCTGCAATTTCTGTTTTTATAAGTTAACTATGTCTACAACTATAGAGTACACCAAAATTTCCTCAGTATTTTGGAATCCATTTTGGAAAACCTTCACTAAAGCCCTCTGGTACTAATGCTGCCCAACCTAAATGGAAAACCACAGAGCGCACAAATGTCCTGAAACAAAGACTGAGAAAGCTGGAGGAATTCAGTAATTCTGGCAGCATCTGTGAAAAGAGAAACAAGAGTTAAAGTTTGGAGTCAGGTATGAATCTTGAAAACAAAAATTGCTGGAAAACCTCTGGCAGCATCTGTGGACAGAAATCAGAATTAACATTTTGGGTCAAGTGAGTCTTCCTCAGAACTAATGACAGCTAGGAAAATGTCAGTTTTCTCTTGACAGATGCTGCTAGACCTGAGTTTTTCCAGAAATTTGTGTTTTTGTTTCTGATTTACAGCATCTACAGTTTTTTCAGTTTTTATGACTCATCTTAAGTTTGGTTCTGAAGAAGAATCGTACCAAGTTGAAATGTTAACTCTGCTTCTCTTTCCATAGATGCTGCCAGACCTACTGAGTTTCTCCGTCATTCTGTGTTTGTTTCAGATTTCCAGCATCTGCAGTATTTTCTTTTTACACAATATTCTGAATTTATGGAAATCATAAACAGTTTTGCAAATTTTTACCTAAACATAGTCAGAGCTCTAGTAATATTTCTCCTTAATGGCAATTCTAAGGTCATTTGATTTAATTTTATTCTCACTTAAACCAACCATATGTTTTCTGTATCAAATAATGCATCTTAGGAATTGGAATGATTGGCATTAAGAACTTTAAATCTTCCATGATTTAATTTTCTTAAAGTCTAATGCACATTATATAATTCACATGCATAGAAGAGATTCAAAAAAGAGAATCATGTAGGTCATGCTTTCTTTGGGTCTCAATTATTTATGTTGCTTTCTACCAGTTACCTATCATGTGAAGGTAGGAAGAGTTACTGTGTTGGCTATGTTAGTCTTTAAGTTTTAGGTGGCATTTAGCTCTGCTGGCTTGTGATGTAGAATGATGCCAACAGCATGGATTCAATTCCTGTACCAGCTGAAGTCACCAGGTAGGTCCCACCTTCTCAGCTTCACCCCTCATCCGAGGTGTGGTGACCCTTGGGGCAGCTGGTGGTGAGATTAACCTATGGTCCTCTGGGATTACAACAACTCTTTATCTTTTGGTCTTTTTTTATACAGAACAGTATTTCTCAAAACCTAATGGATAGATATCAACAGGATATGATACACAGAAAGGGAATGGCCCAAGGAAGAATTTTTTTTATGAACGTGGAATTAGATCTGCATTCTGGAATTTTAAAATTGTACATTGATATTAATTGGAAATACAATGAATTGACTTTATTTTAGAATGTTTTGGATCATTTTGTTTGGAATGTTGCTTGTGATAGGATGTTGTGGATTGTCTAAGCTCTCAAGATGGAATTTGTCAGTATTTTCAGAGCAGGTTGTTAGACGTGGATTCATTTGAAGTCTCCTCAGTAAGAAGGAAGTTTTTAATATTTCTCTTCCATCTTTACGACTACATGCAGCAACCAGGCAGAGGTTAGCAGAATGAGAGTCTATTCCATTCATCTTCGCAGTGATTCTTAGACACCAAAATTACAAGAACGAAATACACGCATCAAACAGGATTCAGGTTAACCTTAAATTTATTAAACCATCAATACTGTGTACAAACACTTTATGATTGAATGCCACTTGCAATCATTAATGTGGTTGTTTGATACCAGTATTAATTGTAGGCCTGGATCTAGAGATCTCTAGAGCGATCTCTCTCCACTTCTCTCCTCCTGACTGTAGTGATCACCCATTGATGCTTGGTTACAGTGTCCCAGCCAAACTATCATTTATATGGGCCTCAGGGATGGATTCTGTCAACAGCCTGTTGGATTGCCTGTTTTTTCCAAGCTTCTCTATCCTGGTTTTTAATGTCCTGACTTGTGCAGTACTGCAAGAGCAATGACAATACACTATCGCAACCACTGCTGTTCGCAGCAGAAAGCTATGTGATTCCTCCCCCAGCGATGAGCTTATTGCCAGCTCAGTTGTTCCTGATCCTTCCATTCTTGACAGAAACTGATTGTGGGTCATTATGGCAGTTAACTTGTATTAACTTGTCATTAATGTTCTCCAAACTGGTCATAAATTAGAATTTCAGTAGGTTCATTTTCATCCGCATTGAGGTTAACCATTCCATGTCCTTCAAAGGTTCAAAGAGCTGTGATGATGTTGAATTAACATGGCATGGCAAGATCTGCACTCTATTGAGTGCCTTCGTCCATTAGGTTTATGCTGTTTTTGACATTCTGACAAATGACCATTATATTCTCAAGAGATATTGATTTAACCCTTAAATAAGAAGATGGCTGTAAGTATTGGCACAGTCTGCCAATTGCACTATTTCAGGAAGTTTTGGAAAATTTGCATAGATGCTATAGTTTATTTTAATTATTTTCTTCCTGTCAGGAATGAGGAGAGCCTCTGACAACACTAAACATTTTTTTTTGACTAAACTGATAGAGACTTCATAATTTGCTTTAAATCAGGAGCCTATGATACAACTAGGACCATTTTTAATGTGAAATCATCGAGGTCTTGCCCAGTGTCTGACCCAACAGTAAAACCTAGAGGGCCTGGTCTCTTGGATGCATTGAAGCAGTACTGAAATGAACATTCAGCTATTGGACTTTTGTTTTATTTAGATTGCTATGACATTTTTTTTGTTTCTAACATTTTTTTGGTATGTTTTGCTCACTGAATCTCAGAAAGAGTTACATATTTGTATTTGGATCCTTCAAAAATTGGAGTAAGGGAAACAGTAGCAGCAACAGTGTATAACATAATGGTCCAGATTCCTCACATTGACATCTGCTCCTATTCGAGAAACATTGTCTTTTCTATCCAAATGCATAACTAAAACCTCCAGTGTTATAATTGTAAACTTGGACTTGTGCAGCTCTGACATTCAGCCAACATCAGTAGAGGAGGCCTGTAGGCATTTTCCTTGCACTGAGCATAGGATTTGTTTAAAGAGAATCAGGTTACCTTTAAGAGAAGCACACTGGCTGCACACTTATTGCCTCTTGGTCTCCTGTTGAGTGCCACGCAGCTCAAGTGCAGACATCGAACAATGTTTTTGTTTTTTTTTGTTCTTTAGCTCTAGCCACATCAATTTTGTCCTTCGAACCCTCTGGAACATTCTCTTTTTCCAACAC